GGTCATTAATCATTCTCAAAGATCCGTCATTATTCGTAACACTCCCCCATTGGGTTGGACCGAAAGAACCCCCATCTTCAGAAAACTTCCTCGTGAGAAAAAAGGACCAAATATTCGTCCCAATCTTCTTTCCTTATATAAATTTTTCATTATTTTATCTTGGACCAACAATGCTGACTTGTGATTTTCTGGTGTAAACCATTTCAGATCTCCTAACGTATGCTGAGGAATACCCTTGGTCGAATCCTTCATTCAACCCTATCCAGACTTTCTTCCATTTCTCAGTCAAGTTACAATCCTCCAACAGAAGTCTCCATTCCTCCAAATTCATCTCTCCCTTCCTATTTTCTGGCCATGTCTGCAGCGCTTCTGGTGAATCCAGTTGGTATTCTTCTTTCATCTCTACTGCTTTCTCTCTCTTCTCTTTACTTTTCGTTTCTTTTGGCGTCTCTTTTACCAGTTTGTCTCTCTCTAACTCTCTAGTAAGATTTCTGTTAGATTGCAGACTAGACACGAGAGCGAAACATATGAAGAGAAAAACACAAATTAAACAAAACAACGATCACAATCAGTCTCCAGCTCCACATCTCAAACAAAAACATTCTCGAACAATTTCACAACATTGATGTCTCAATACAACTTAGGTTTCTTATTCCACAACTTACTTAGAACCAGAACCTGAAGCTACCGGTCTATTATTCTCTGCTCCTTTACTCTGACCTCCTTCAATCATCAACCGATTAAAACTTCCTGGTCCAATCGCTGGACGTCCATTTCCGTTTCCACCTCTTCCGCTTCCTTGCTGACCTCCACCTCTTCCATTTGCATAGTTCTGGTGATGATTTCTCTGATAATTCCCTTGATACGGATGGTAAGATGGATGGTTGTTATACCCTTGATTTTGTAGATGAAAGTTATTATAAGGTGAGTTCGTATTTTGTGCGTAACTATTACTTTGTTTCGCATGATGAAATTGCTTCTTGTGATAATTTTCATCAAAGTTATTTCCTAAATACCCTCTTGGACGTCTCCCATTCACTACCCCACTTTGAATACCAGATCCTGAAGTTCCATGATGACTAACAGCTTGTTCGTTCCACACCTGTAGGTTTCTACCTGTCATCATATCTGCGTGAGTATCTACTAACGCTCCAGCTGTGTCCCAAGAACTGGACACTGGGTAGGTTCTACCATCTGTTGGACTAATATGTTGCATCGGTCCTCCAAAAGCGTATGGATTGTCTGCGTAGTAATAATCTTTAAAGTGCTTTGCATCACGTTCTGCCTGCTCCAGTAACCTCTTATCCAAAGTACCTACATCTGCCATACTTCCGTCACCTAACCTATTCTCCCAAACATTCCTACGGTGGGCAATATCGTACCTCATGGCAGTAGGCCATTTACCATAACAGTCGATTTGGATTTGCAAACAATTATCTCTATGTGCTATTAATCTGGGTGCTATCGGTGAGTTCTTCTGTTCTTCCAACACATCGTATTTTAATTGTTGATACTTTATCATGAGATTGAATCTTACTAGCCATTCCGCAAAAGTCAATCTGTATTCGTTCAGCACTGGTGATCCCGTGTAGGTATTGGATTCTACGTGACATGTGTTGGTCTTCGCTTTTCTTCTAACGTATGTAAGATCTTGTAGAATCCAAGTAGGACAGCAGATCGACACCGGTACATGGATGTTCTTGTTTATC